ACGTGGGAGAGGGCTTGGGAAGCCACTGCTGAGCCCCCGACACCCCACTGCCCAGGACTGAGTGGACCCTGCTCAGCTGCCTGCAGGGCGCCTCTGCTTCAGGGAGCTAAGGGGGTAGGAGCAGCGTCTGGGGGGCTCCCATCCCCTTCCCCAAGCCTTTGCCAGGCAGGGGCAATTCTCCATTGCTCTGGCTCAGTACCTCATACTGCCTGGTGAGTGTGGGGGTCATAGGTCACAGGTCAGGGGGGCCTACCTGCCTGAGAAAGGCACAGGTTGGGTGGGGAGAGATGACCTCTGTGTCTGAGTCCCTCAGAGCCTTGCTATCTTCACGTCCACTCTCCCTCCGAGACCGCCCATGGCTCCCTGTGGCTGTCCCAGGCAATCCACAGGGTCCCCTCCTCCAGGAGGCCAGGGAGGGGCTCCCTTCCTCAGGACCCTAGAGGCCCCCCAGTTCACGCTTTCTTCCGACGTTTGGGGGTGGGGTGAGAAGGCTACTCATGGGGACTGTGCTTGGCTCATTTTAATCCTCATAACTCTTTGGGGGTGGGACTTGGCTTCCCCTTCCTTCTTCCCATGGGGCCTCCGGGGCTCAGATGGAGTGAGCGAGCTGTCCAGGGTTGCCCAGCTCGTGAGCTGCCCACAAGCACCCTGGTTAGTGGGACATCTGAGACTCAGGGTCCCTGTCATCTCTCTTCTCGGGGAGTTTGGTGAGCCCAGCTCTGGGCAGGGGGCCCAAAAGAGCTGAGCTCCTGTCTCACCCTCTGCCACTGCCCCTGCCAGAGCCGGCCAGGCCGCAGCGCGGACGCACCCGCAGGCCGCCGTGGCCCCAGCCCCGCCAGGCAGGATGAGCAGCTCAGACGCGGGGCTGGAGGAGGAGCCGGAGCTCAGCATCACCCTCACGCTGCGCATGCTGATGCACGGGAAGGTGAGGGGCCTCTGCTGCCACTTGGCAGGGGCGGGGGTGGCCGGGAGGGGGCAAGGCCAGGTAAGGCCTGGCCGGCTGAGTTGGAACTCAGGTGTCCTACCTTCATGGGGGCAGGTCGGAAGGAGGGAGGGGCAGGGCCGGGCATCTGCACCCCCTGACTCCTCTCTGGTCTGTTCGCAGGAGGTGGGCAGCATCATCGGGAAGGTAGGTGCTGGGTTCTGCTCTGTGTCCCCTCCGACCTGCGGCCTCCGTCCAGGCGAGGAGGCAGCGCAGTCAGCCTAAGAGCCTCCCTCCGTGTTTTTCTGCAGAAAGGGGAGACCGTCAAGCGGATCCGGGAGCAGGTGAGGGTGGAGTGTGGGGAGGAGCCCGGGCGCCTGGTGTTGGGGGGTGGGAGGGAGACCGAGGGCCTGCCCTCAGGGTGGCGGTTCCAGCTTTGCTGGGGCCTGGGAGTGGGGCAGGCGGGCGGGCTGCCGCGAGGAGGTGAGGAGGGAGCCCCGCTGCCCGGCGCCTGTCCTGTACCCGCAGAGCAGCGCCCGGATCACCATCTCTGAGGGCTCCTGCCCCGAGCGCATCACCACCATCACCGGGTCCACGGCGGCCGTCTTCCACGCAGTCTCCATGATCGCCTTCAAGCTGGACGAGGTGGGTGAGCCGGTTCCCTGGGAGGACAGGACCTGCTGGGATGGGAGAGGAGGCCGAACCCGGCAGGATTCCCGCATTCGAGTGGGACTGAGGTGGGCTGCCCTGCAGGGGGCGGTGAGGAGCAGGAGCCTGCATAGGGGGGAGCAGCAGGGGCCTGCGGGGGTCGGGGAGCAGCAGGGGCCTGCAGGGCCCACCCTCCATCACCCTCCGTTCCTCGCCCAGGATCTCTGCTCTGCTCCCGCTAACGGTGGGACTGTCTCCAGGCCTCCGGTGACGCTTCGCCTTGTCATCCCCGCCAGCCAGTGTGGCTCCCTGATCGGGAAGGCTGGCACCAAGATCAAGGAGATCCGAGAGGTGGGGGAGGACCACCCCAGAAGTCCCACCTCCTGCTGCCTACCCTCGGAGAGCTCTGAGCCTGGGAACCCCTCCTCTGGCTGTGGGAGCTGACAGAAGTGGCCCCTGTTCTCTGCTTGCAGACCACGGGGGCCCAGGTGCAGGTGGCAGGGGACCTGCTCCCCAACTCCACCGAGCGTGCCGTCACCGTGTCCGGGGTGCCTGACGCCATCATCCTGTGTGTGCGCCAGATCTGCGCCGTGATCCTGGAGGTTCTGCTCGGGGCAGGAGAGGGGGCACACCCGCGGGGGGCAGGCCAGGCAGCCGCCATGGGCCAGGGGCCCCAGGACGTCCGATGCGTTTTCCTGGGGGTCGTGGGGAGGGCCTTGACAACACAGGACTCCTGCGAGGTCGGGGTGGCCTGGCAGGGTCCTGACAGCTCCCCCATTTGTCCTTCCAGTCCCCACCCAAAGGGGCCACCATCCCGTATCACCCCAGCCTCTCCTTAGGCACCGTCCTTCTCTCCGCCAACCAGGTGAGGGGACCATAGGGGGGCCTTGTTGGAAAAAGGGGGATTGAAGTGGGGGAGGGGATGGAAGGAGGAATTGGGGGTCCGGGGAGGAGTGACTGCCCTGACCTGTCCCAGTAACCCCTTCACCCCGGGGCTTCTCCATCCCTACAGGGCTTCTCCGTCCAGAGTCAGTACGGGGGTGTGACCCCAGCAGAGGTGAGTGACCCCTTCCCGAAGCAAGCCCCCTCTGACCTCTGCCCCCTCTTGACCTCTGCCCCCTCTTGACCTCGGTCCCTCTCCTCCGGCGCAGGTCACCAAGCTCCAGCAGCTCTCAGGCCACGCGGTCCCCTTTGGCTCCCCGAGCATGGTGCCAGGTGAGCAGCCCCAGCAGCAGGAGGCAGGGCAGGTCCCCAGGGGCCAACAGCCCCTGCCGTGGCCGTGGGGGGCAGGAAAGGCCCGGAGCCACACGCACCCCTCTCTCCCTAGGACTGGATCCTGGCGCACAAACCAGCTCCCAGGAGTTCTTGGTTCCCAACGACGTGAGCAGGGCCCCAGGGCCCGGGTGGGTGAGGGGGGGCCTGGGCCTTGGGCAGGGCTGAACTCCCGCCTCCCCCCAGCTCATTGGCTGCGTGATCGGGCGCCAGGGCAGCAAGATCAGCGAGATCCGGCAGATGTCAGGGGCGCACATCAAGATCGGGAACCAGGCGGAGGGCGCCGGGGAGCGGCACGTGACCATCACTGGGTCCCCAGTCTCCATCGCTCTGGCTCAGTACCTCATCACTGCCTGGTGAGTGTGGGGTGGGGCATGGGGTCATAGGTCACAGGTCAGGGGGACCTACGTGCCTGAGAAAGGCACAGGTGGGGTGGGGAGAGATGACCTCTCTGTCTGGGTCCCTCCTCTCCATCACTCCCGCCATGTTGCCCCATCTTCCGCTCTCCATCCATCCCTGGGTCCTCTCCCCTCATCTGCTCTGTGCCCTGGGCCTCCCCGCTTCTCCCCTCACCCCGTACAATGTCTGCTGTCCTTTCTTCCACCCTTGCCCTTCCCCCGTCCCATCTTCTCCTCCGTTCCCGTCTCCTGATCTTGCCCTCCTTGTCCCCTCTCGCCCCACCGTCTCCTTCATCTCCCCCCAATCCCTCTCTCCAGTCTAGAAACGGCAAAGTCTACCTCTGGGGGGACGCCCAGCTCGGCCCCCGCAGACCTGTCTACCCCCTTCTCGCCGCCCCTGACGGCCCTGCCCACGGCTCCCCCTGGCCTGCTGGGCACGCCCTACGCCATCTCCCTGTCCAACTTCATCGGCCTCAAGCCTGTGCCCTTCTTGGCTCTACCACCTGCCTCCCCAGGGCCGCCGCCCGGCTTGGCGGCCTACACTGCCAAGATGGCAGCGGCCAATGGGAGCAAGAAAGCTGAGCGGCAGAAATTCTCGCCGTACTGAGGCCGCTGAGGCGCAGACGCGGGAGCAGGCGGGACGCCGCTGGGGCTGCCCCTGTGCCCCGCCTGCCCGCGGAGACCCCAGCCCGGGGCCCACACACCACTAATGCTCAGAAGCATGGATGCACCCTGCCTGGCCCCGCTCTGTGGGGGCCCCTGTGCTCAGAGTGGGTGCAGTTTCTGGCCCAGGGTTCTGGGGGGCTGCGCAGTCCCAGGTAGGGGGCTCCACCCCTCTAGCTCTGTGCTTGGGTGCAGGGAGCATCCTTAGTGTCCCCACTTTGGGGGTCACTCATGCACTCCCCATTCCTTAGGGCTTCCCAGCCTACTGCCCCCTTGTGGGGATCAGGGAGGAGGGCTGGGGGGGCCGGGGGCCATGCTTCTCTCCCCACCTCCCCGCAGATTCCTGCCGCTCCCACGGATAACCCTTTGACTGGAATGGACTGGCTGGGCTTGGCAGAGGGCCACCCAAGGAGGGGGCACTGCCAGGCCACTGGGGGGGTCCCACGGGGCAGGGCTGAGCTCTCAGCAGCAGACACTCTGTACAGTTTTTTCAATCCCTGTTTTTGAATAAATATTCTGAAACCAGGAAGCTGTGACACACTGTGGGTGTTGGCAAAACTTCCAGAAAACGGGCGTGGGCAGCCCCAGAGGACCCCATCTGTGAACCCACCAGCCCGGGGTTCTGGGCCCGCGGGACCCTCGGGGGGGACACGTCCAGCCTCCTTCCTTGAGCACAGAGCGGACCCGGTTGTTTGCCAGGCATTTTAGAGGCGGAGAGAGGCGCTCCAGGGGCTTGTCCGGCCTCTTCAGGGCGGATGTCAGGGGCGTCTGAGTCTCTCCATTGGTTCCTCCTGTTGTGGCCGGAACCCAGACCCGCCCTGCCTGGCTCATCTCTTCGGCTGTGAGCCCAGGGATCCTGCCCACCTCTGCTCCTTCCGTGGCCCTGAGAGATGGTCCAGGGTGCAGATGGGAGAAACGAGGACTGTGCACAAGGCCATGCCCAGTTAAGCCCAGAACCCAGGGTTCCTAGCTCCCAGAAGCCTCTGGGCCTCCCAGGTTGCAGGGCCCCTTTCCCCGTCCCAGAGCCGGAAACCTAGGCAGGAGGCTGGATGGTCCCGGTGATACCACCCCCTTGCTCCGGCCCAGTGCAGTGTGAGTCAGACCCCCTCTCCGGTGGCCTTGGGCATGCGGAGGGTCCCCCCCAAGTCCGGCTCTTGATCTGGTGCCTCAGCAGGTCCCAGGGCAGGGCCCTCTGCAGGTCCCCGGAGGCGCCGCAGGAGGGCCCGCGGGTGCCAGGTGCGCTTTATACATACAAAGGGGAAGACTTTTTCCACCTCCAAGAGCAGATATTTGTCCCCGTGGGGGCAGTATCACCCCCATTGAGAACTTGTGGCCAGAGGCAGGAAGGCCCGCATTCATTGAACGCAGTTTTTAAAAATTAACGTCTCCTTCTTTCGCTTCTCCCGCCACCATCTGGCAAGTTGTGTGCCTATCAGGTGCTCAG